AAAAAAAAAAAGAGGGGAAGGAGGGGGTGGGGGGGGTGGGGGGGACAAAGTTTCAANAGTGGACACGACAATTGATAAGGGCGGAGGAACAGCCCCCTGAGAGACCATGACAGTCACGGCCAAATTGCTCAGACGCAGCGTTGGCTTTGGCGTGTTAATATTGACCCAAAAAGGACATACAGTGCTCCCATATCACGTAGCTGCGTGGGGCACGCGACCATCAAGAGGAGACGAGATAATGTGAGTGTCCCAAGACTTTGAATTTGAATTTGCGGGGGCGCAAACAAACAAGAGGATTGGGGGCGTCAGCAAGGCGATGGCCATACCTAATGCTAACGGCTGGGCCGGCTTTCAGAAAGTTGGCACCGATGCCACGATACAGCGCGCGCGGACCGCCCTTCTGCAGCACATCGCGCAGCTCCTGCACCATGTTGTTATTGTTTTGGGGATCCGCCTACGTAAAGTTTGCCCCGACGATGCACTCTTCTTGAGCCTTTGGGAACCGGGGATGCGCCCAACAGCACGGTCGGCCGGTGACAGCATTGAGCGATAGCGACGCTATGCTTACCTGAAGTCGCGTGCGAACCAAAGCGAGCGGGTAGCTGGCGAGCTGGCCACAACAGCTGCTGACCAGACCAAAGCCGAGAATGGCCAAGGTCGACCGTTCATAGCGAGCTTCATACACCTGCGGGCCACAAGGTTGCAGGATGAAATCACAATCAGGGAGATGACTCCCCTCAGCTCTGACTTGGCATCGTGCATCGCCGCCGCCCAGTTATGCACAAGTCCATCACGCAGAAGGGTGCTGGTTCACGTACTGATTTTAAGGTCTCGTAAACGGCCAAGTCAATGCCGGCGTACGGTATCATGCCAATGATGGCGGGCTGGAGGCCACGATAGAATCGCGGAATGCCACCCTCAAGGTACAGCCGATGCAAACAATTAGCAATACCGCCGTACTGCCCCGTTTTGGCAGTAGCGAGCCGCGTTTTGACCACTTCAAACGGGAAAATTGAAACCTGGGCGATGACGCCCGCGATAGAGCCCGCCATGACGCGCTCAACCGGATCCACCTGCACAAATTTGCACACGTTTCCAACACCGGCACACACGCACAAGCACATGTGAGGCATGCGGATGTAGAGCAGTGGCACTTCGTGGACAGCACGGGCAGACCACAAAGCTCGGTGGAGCATACCTCGCGCGGATCATCACTCGAGTAAATGGCTGCCTTTGCTTGCTCCCAAGCGAAGAATTTGATCCTGCGCTTACACAACACGGGTAAGTTCCCAGCAAGACAAAAAAAAACCTGGACCGAAGACAAACAAAGTCGAGATACGTACGCCGACTCGGGGGTGATTTTCAAGACATTGACACCATTGCCGCGCCACATGGACTTGACACCACCCTCTTTCAGCATATACTTGAAGCCTTGGATCAGGCCGAATTGTTTGTCTCCAGCCGTTACATGCATCAAAAGCTTGAGCCGGTCCAGAGGCGCCGTGCATGTGCGTGACACCGCACCCGCAATGCCTAAGCATCGCCGCACAACATAAAGCGGCGTGGCATGGCAGTGAGCGGCCCTTGCAGGCGGCTGTTCCACCTCGCCCTCGCATTTTGTCGAGTGCGCACAACAGCTAGCCAGGCTGAGGTGCGATTGCGCGCATACGTACCGCCAGCTATAAGAGTACGCCACCACCGGGGAAGGGTAGGCACCTGGTCCTCGCCACTTTCGTACAGATCATGGCCGGCGATCAAGGCCCAGTACCTATAACATGTCACACCAGACCGGGGCCGATCACCCAGCCAGTCAGAAGGAGTCGTCGCTGCAACGATCAAGGCGGCCAAAGCAAGATGATCAAATGCGGATCGAACCGAAACACGTCTTGAACGTGAGCAGTCGGTGCCAGCATCATTTCATGGCGCCACTCGTGCCAGCTGATGGAGCCATTGCGGTCCTGGTCGAGGATGCCAAGCATGCGCTCCACCATATCCTCACTTGCCTGTAGCAGCCAGTCAGTGCATCCACAATCGTGAGCGCGTGCCTTCACCAATCATGGACATGATCGCAGCGAGCTGTATCAAAAGTAGGCTGGCGGGCTGGGTCCTCGAGCCAAACCACCGTGCCAGGTCTGAGAACTGGGGGGAGACTTACATCCATGTTGAGCTGCATGAGAGCGGCCCGGATTTCACTGGCTTGAAGGTCACCATCCTGTTCGTGGTCGATGGCATCAAAAACCTGACGCAGCAAGCGCTCTTTTTCGAGGCACCAAGCGCTAAACTCCTCCCAATCGACCTCGTCTATGCCGGCATTGTGAACAGTCACAGTCTAAGCAAGAGACAGCGCAACGGGGTGATCTCAACGAGGTCGGACATGTAGCACACACACCTTTGCCAACACCAAACTCTGTAAGAATTCTTGCAACGTGCTCTGACTGCGCCTCGGCATCCTTGGTAATGGCGGCAGGTCAAGCGTTTGCACAAATGAGCTCGGTGTGTGCAAGCCAAGCAAGTCGTGTGATGGTAGCATTTGGGCAGCCATGCGGAAGCCACGCGGCGTGCATAGCCAGTCGAGGCAGGCTGACCTTCATGCGTTGCAACTCTTCACGAATATTAGTTTCTGAAATGGCCCCGCTGTTGTCTGCAGGATTAGCGGATTGCGCGGGCGAACATGTTTGGCCGGGCTCGGGTGAGCGACAGAGTGGGCTGTCGTGCGGCCCGGCAGACACCGGTGACTGGGCGTGACTGGGCGAGAGGCGAAAGGCAAGAGCATACCGGTATCGAGGCGGTCAAAGATTCGCTTGTAGTGCCGACTTTTGGCTTCCATGTCTTCCTCATCCTCGTCGCTGTCGGGTTCAGTGCGATTGGGGTGAAGCTGGAATAGCTCCTCGCGCCCGCTCTATGAAGTATAGGCACATGAGTCATGGAACAGTGAGTTTATGAGGCACGTGGGTGATGAGGAAACATCAAGCCTTTTGAATCAGCAAGGGAAAGGTGGGAAAAAAATTAAAACATACCACGTTGGACTGGAGTGCACGCGTTCGGCGAGCACGCACAAAACGAGCAATGCCAGTATCGCGGGCATTGGCATCATCTTCCCGGGGGGAGAGAGCAAGGAAACGACGAGGGGGCATGGCGCGTGGTGTGGATGGTATTGATGCACGGATGGGGCAGGTGGTCATGGCCAGGGCCCAAGGTATGGATCGCGACGAGGCTTGCAAAGTCGGAGACGGATCACGTTGAGTTTGGACAGCGTAGGCTTTGAGCACGTGGCGCAATGCTGGAGTGATACTGGTGCAAGCGGTGGGGCTGGCCAGGGCCGGGTCTGGCTCGGGCTCGACTGGCATGTTTGCGGGCACAGTGACCATCACGCGCGAAGAAAAGGTTGGTGCGGCTACTGGGTCACGGTTGACGGCTGCTTGGTGGGCGGGAAAAGAAGGCATACAGTCCGAGTGGATGGGACTAGTTTGTTGGGTATGGAGCCTGTCTGTGTAAAGGCGTCTCAACCGAGCGGCGCTAGCAGTCGGGCTGCGATGTTTGTTCAAGCGGGCGGTGGGTAGCAGGCATCATGCACGAGTTGTTGGCCAAACTTGATGGGATAAGGGGGGTCAGTGACGAGCAGCAGTGCGGCCGTAAGGCACTGTGTCACCGCGTGACCGTGCGGTCCTGCCAATGTTGGGTACAAGCGACTGTGAGTCTGACTTGGTGCAGAAGGAGGAAACGCAGGCAAAGCCAGATTGAACAGAAACTGAAACGTCGGTGGCGGGCGCGGGGGAGGACGGGTGAGTAACTGACACTGAGGCAGGCTGGAAAGCCTATGCAGGTATCGCTGCGCGCTTTTAGTAAGTCGGCTAGTCTCAAGCGGCGAGAGCGGCGTCGAAAGTTCATGCGACGAGGGCAGCCAGGAGCATGACGCGCGTCGTTCCAGTGAACCAACGAATGGGCTAGCGAGCAAGAAAAGATAAGACGCGCGCGCGCGTGCGGGCCACCAGAAGGTTAGCAATGCCTCGACAGTTTGATTTAGAGTAATGAGACACAGCGCAAACAGTCGGTTGGTAAGTAGAAGAGGCAAGGGGGCAGCGGGGTGGGGGCAAGGGTGGTGGTGGTGGTGAGACTTGTGTAAGCGCTCTGGCCTTGCCAGGTGGCGTTTAAGAGCAGGAGAGCAGAGCCTTTTGGGATGAACGAGATGGATGGATGTTTGCAAGAAGCAGGTCGGGGCCAAGAAGGCCTGGTGGCAAGCACGCTGTCTGGGGAACCAAGAACAGCGAGGAAGGAGGTCGCGGCAGCGGTTGTTTCAGCGGCAGCAAACGCACCTGTCACTGATGGACTCGAGGGCCCGTGCGTACGTCGACGCAAACGCCTCTATCCGTACCCCCCAACACACCAGCCAGCCAGCGGCCAAGCACCACCACAACCCCCAGCACAAGATTAAGAACCCAGCGCAACAACAACAACAGCAGCAGCAGCAGCAGCAGCAGCAGCAGCAGGTGAGCCGATGAGCAGGCGACAGCGGACGGCACCGACGACGGCGACGACGACGACGACGATGCGCTCTCTCTCTCTCTCTCTCTCTCTCTCTCTCTCTCTCTCTCTCTCTCTCTCTCTCTCTCTCTCTCTCTCTCTCTCTCTCTCTCTCTCTCTCTCTCTCTCTATCTCTCTCTCTCGTACCTGGAAGCTGGAAATGGGGGCAGAGATGGAGGTGAAACGGGAGAGATGGGCAGAGATGGGATAGAGTTGGACGGGTGAGAGGAGAGATGGCAATTGGTCATGAGTTTGTTTCAGAGAGGGGTGTTGGAGTCAAACGAATCCCTTATGAATAAACACAGCAAAATCCAGAGAGATGCACAAGTTTTGGTGCTCTTCCAGAGACAATCCCATTGCTTGACTCGAACCAGACGTACAAATCCCTTGAGCAAAATAATAAGAGAGAACAACATCGCAGCAAGTCACCACACCCACCTACAAACTGTAGCGAATAACACACTTCACGGTTGCTCTTTCAAAATGTTGTCAGGCCTGGAAGTAAAATACTTACGTCCTATTTTGTCTTACAAAAATGTCATCATTTGGAATGTGGATCATGTTCAGCAGGTGTGTGGCGGGATTCAGACAGCGGTGGTATCAACTCCTCGACAGCAGCAGCAGTGGTATCAGCAGGAGCGGTAGCAGCGGCAGTAGCAGCAGCGGTATCAGCGGTAGCAGGAGCGGTAGCAGCAGCAAGAGCAGCAGCCGTAGCAGCCGTAGCAGCCGTAGCAGCGGGAGCAGCGGTAACAGCGGTAGCAGCGGGAGCAGCAGCGGGAGCAGCCGTAGCAGCGGGAGCAGGAGCAAGAGCAGTTGGTTGGGGGGGTTAACGAGCGGGTGCATTTGGAGCAGGTCGTTGAGTGGTGGTGGTGGTGGTGAGGGCAGGTGGAAAACGCATTGCTTGGCCTTGGTGAGCGGGGTGAGCGGTAACCGGAGACGCAGGGGTTGGCCGTGCGACCAGCTTGACGCCTCACACAAGAGCCTTGCGGCCATGGCCTGGCACGAACACCGGCGGGGCCGCCCAGGTCCAGCGCCCAATCATTATGGTTGCCCCCCAACGCCATCAGAATTCTGGGGACCCCCGCCCGATGGACTGACGCAACCGCCTCACCCTGCCTACCATGCCCCGGTCCAGCCCAACCCCTACTTTCATCCCCACGCTGCTGATGGATGGCCCATGCCATCCGCACCCTTGGATCGGCCACCAGGGCGATTCATGCCCCCGAATATGCCCCCGAACATGCCCCCGAACATGCCTCCGAATATGCCTCCGAACATGCCCCCGAACATGCCCCCGAATATGCCCCCGAATATGCCCCCGAATGTGCCTCCAAACCTGGCTCACATGCCCCCGAACATGCCCCATGGCGGGCCACCAACTATGCCCCCAATGCACGGCATGCCACCTCCGATGCCAGGCTTTGGTGTGGGCTTTGCACCCATGTATGCTCCCCCTCTCGACGGCCCAGGCCAACCACGATGGATGCCCTACCGGCGCTCCTTTCATGACCGCGCCGAGTCAGATGCTGACTACACGCGTGGTCGAGACTTTGACCTGGACAGACCCCAGCCCTTCTCTCAGGGACGTCGGAACAATGCCCCATACCGGCCTCGCT